ACTAGGGGACCTATGAGATCCCTTCCAATTCCTGTGATCTCATGATCTTATGTAGAAGGTCAAAGCAATCTGCAGTCTCATGGACAGGGCAGTTCAGACCTTGAGCTAGGTACAGATAGAACTGGACTATGAATCAAAACATGACCCAAATATTAACTTCTTGGCCAGTCTCACGTTTTATTATTGCTTTTAGATTTACCCTGCCAGTGTAAAATAGATGAAACCTGTATTTTCTTATTTCAAGTCCCCATTTCTTTCATTTCACCTTTAAAATCAATCTGAAAGAGTTCTAAAGGAAACAGATGGAACAGGGCAAATCTGGTACTATCTTATTAAATTTGATGTGCTTTTAAAAAACAAACTACAAAAGAGAAGTTCATAACTTCATAAACAACCCTTTTCTCCTTTTGAATATTGAAATGTTTATTGGTGATTAAGCAATTAGAAAAAAGGAAATGATATAAAAATAAAATAAATCTGATAGGAAAAAATAGAACCCAAAATATATGTTACCTACTGAAGATAATAAGAGGACCAAATTCACACAACATGCATACAAAGAATGTCAGAAGGGATTGAGAAAAATGGTGATGTGGCTATTAATACATTAAAGTCATCTTTGGGGGATGGCATTAATAGTTGTTAAGTAATGGAAGTTACAGATATGGACAGTCATTTACAGTCTTGGTGTTTCAGTTTGAACTCGTGCTTTTTAAATTTTTATTTTCTTCTATACTTGTTCACGTATTTGAATGCTTGTATTTGTCAATGGAAGGCAAAGTAAAATTTGTATTTAAAGGAAAAATTGGTCTAAGTCCCAGCTGAAGTGATGAAGAGGTAGGTTTTGAGGCTGTTGATTTTTGGGGACTCTAACAGGCAAGATCTTGCCTGTTCTGGGAGTCAAAAACCTACAGGAACATAAAGGAACACATTTCCTTAGATTTCTTAATTCCCAGTTAGTCAAGGAATTACAGATTTAGAGCTAGAAAGGACTTTAGAGATCATCTGTCACAACCTCCTCATTTTATAGATGAGGAAACTGAGTCTGAGAGAGAGGTGAAGTGACTTGTTCTAGGTCACAGGGGTGTGTAGGAGCAGAGCTGGAAATCAGACTTAGCCAGTCATCTGACCAGTTCAGAGATCATTTCCCCGAACTACTCCGTGCTCTTCCACTCTTTCCTTCTGTGAGTTGCTAGGTATGTCACGTTGACAGAATGATGTTTAAAAGCATAGGTCTGACGGTGTCGTTTCTCTGCTCAAGAAGCTCCAGTGGCTCCCTATTTCCCACAGTGCCTGGCACATAGTAGATGCTGAATAAATGTTTATTGGTTGATTTACCTGAGCATTTTACACAATGAATGCTTTGAAAAAAAAATTTTTTTAATTATATGTTCACTTGTGCTTTAAGGCCCCTAGCATAGTACTTTGTACATAGGAGGTACCTGATAAATATTTGTTGAATTGAATTGTTAGTTGTAGGGATCAACAGCACAGGATCCAGCCTGCAACATAGGTAAGAGAAAGGTGAATGAGTGAGGTGAAGAGGAAGGGCCTAAATATAGAGAAAAAACATGGGGACAGCTTGTGGTATATAGTTTTTAAAAAACCCACTAAAATCAGAAAGACCTCACAGTGCTGTAAACAATCTGTGTGACTCTGAACATTCAGCCTTGTTTTTTCTTTGTTTGTAAAATGGAAATAACGTGCCAACTTGTGCCAGTTAACCTCTCATAGAGGTTACTGGTTTTTCACAAGTGTGGGGGAGGGGAGGAACGAGGGGACACCAGAACTTAGGTCTTTTTTTTTCCACTTAGTAGTATTTTATTTTTTCCAGTTACGTGTAAAGATAGTTTTCAACATTCACTTTTATAAGATTTTGAGTTCCAAATTTTTTTGTCTTTCTCCCCCCCCCGCCCCAGACAGCAAGCAATCTTATATAGGCTATACACGTACAATCATATTAAAAATATTTTCACATTAGTCATGTTGTGAAAGAAGAATCAGAACAAAAGAGAAAAACCACAAGCATAGAACTTAGGTCTTTGAGACAGTGCTAAGAACCTGGAGGCCTAGCCTAGGTCTATCTATTAGTGCTGTTCAGTCCCTTCTGCCTTCAGTGGATGGAAGCATTTCTTTTTTTTTTTTTTTAATTTTTATTTAGAATTTTATTTTTTTCCAGTTGCACGTAAAAACAACTTTAACATTCATTTTTAAAATTTTGAGTTCCAAATTCTCTCCTATTCCCCCTCACTCCCCCACTGAGAAGGCATGCAGTTCGATATAAGTTATACATATGTAGTCATGCAAAACACTTCCATAATATTGTTGGGGCAGCTAGGTGGCGCAGTGGATAGAGCACCGGCCCTGGCGTCAGGAGGACCTGAGTTCAAATGTGACCTCAGACACATAACACTTACTGGCTGTGTGACCCTGGGCGAGTCACACTTTGCCTAGCCAAAACAAAACAAAACAAAAACATAATCGTCGTGTTGTGAAAGACTAACTATATTTCCTTCCATCCTATTCCCTCCTGCCCCATTTATTCTATTCTCTGTCTCCTTTCACCCTGTTCCTCCTCAAAAGTATTTTGCTTCTGACTATCCCCTCCCCGAATCTGCCCTTTCTTCTATCATCCCACCCTTCTTTTGTCCCCTTCCCCTCCTACTTTCCTGTAAGGTAAGATAGATTTCTATGCCCAGTTGAGTGTGTATGTTATTCCCTCTTTGAGCCAATTCTGATGAGAGTAAGGTTTTCTCACCCCTTCTCCCTTCCCTCTTCCCCTCCAGTGTAAAAGCTTTTTCTTGCCTCTTTTATGTGAGATGATTTACCCTGTTCTACCTCTGCCATTCTCTTTCTCCCAGTACATTACTTTCTCACCCCATAATTTAATGTAATTTAATTTTTTTGCTTTTTGGTGAAGCAATTGGGGTTAAGTGACTTGCCCAGGGTCACACAGCTAGTAAGTGTCAAGAGTCTGGGGTCACATTTGAACTCAGGTCCTCCTGACTCCAGTCCTGGTGCTCTATCCACTGTGTCACCTCGCTGCCCCAGTTTTATTTTTTAGATGTCATTACTTCATATTCAGTTCACACCTGTGCCCTCTATCTATATTTATTCCTTCTAACTACCTTAATAATGAGAAAGGTCTTATGAGTAAAATATCTTAATGGAGGCATTTCTTTTTTTTTCCAGACAACACTGTTTATTGAAAGTTATTGCAAACAGGCTCAAGGATACTGATGTTTTAACTATGTTGTTTAAATACACACACACACACACACACACACACACACACACACACCCCAAAGTGAAGCAAAAATCCTCCCCCTGACTCTGGGGAGACAAAAAAAAAATACTGTGAAAAACCGAGCCAAACAAAATCTCAGAGACAACTGATTTCTTAGGATAAGACACAACATTCTCAAATGAAGAAACATAATCAATTTTATAGGTAAGAAGGAAAGTGGTGACTGATGGATCAAATAAGGCAGCACAGGGAGTCCAGGAACTGTCCTACCTGAAGATCATTTCTCAGGGCTAGAAGCCATCATTCTATCTTAACTTGATCTCTTTTGGGGATTCTTTGTAGGAATCGGGAGAGAGTGCCACAACTGTGGCTACATGCTGGTGTTCCCCTTGAAAGTTCAAGTCACTCAGGCTTTGAGAGTTTTAGTGGAAGGGACAGTTCCAGGGAAAGGGTACCTGACCATCACAATCAGAGGAGGTCTAATCAAGTGAAATTTTTTGTTACTCTTCTTGGGAAATAGGACTGTCAGCTGGAAACAGGTTTTTTTTAAATTTTATTAATTTATTTTGATTTATCAACAATCACTTCCATATGCTTTAAATTTTTTTTAAAAGTTTAAAATTTTTCTCCCCCTTGCTCCCCACCACCCTCCCCAAGATGGCGCACAATCTGATATAGGCTATACATTTACATTCCTATTAAACATATCTTCACATTAGTGAAGTTGTAAGTAAAAATTAAAACCAATAGGAGGAACCATCAAAAAGAGGAAACAAAACTCAACAGAAGAGAAAAAAAAATGGTAGCAATTCAACTTCCATAGTTCTTTCTCTGGATGCAGATAGCATTTTCCATCACAAGGCCTCTGGAGATGTCTTAGATCCTTGTATTGCTGAGAAGGGTTAAGTTTATCAATATTAGTCATCATACAGTGTGGCTGTTTTATGTTCTGCTCACTTTACTCAGCATCAGACCATACAAGTCTTTCCAGGTTTTTCTGAAGTCAGCCTGTTCATCATTTCTTATAGCACAATAGTATTCCATTACATTCATATACCACAACTTGCTCAGCCATTCCCCAATGGATGGGCGTCCTCTCAATTTCCAATTCTTTGCCACTACAAAAAGAGCTGCTATGAATATTTTTGTACATGTGGGTCCTTTTCCCATTTGTATGATCTCTTTGGGATATAGCCCTAGAAGTGCTATTGCTGGATCAAAGGATATGCACATTTTTATAGCCCTTTGGGTATAGTTCCAAATAGTTCTCCAAAATGGTTGGATCATTTCACAACTCCACCAACAATGCATTAGTGTTCCAATTTTCCCACATCTTCTCCAACATTTATCATTTTCCTGTTTTGTCATGTTGGCCAGTCTGATAGGTGTGACAATCAGAGTTGTTTTGATTTGCATTTCTCTAATCAATAGTGATTTAGAGCATTTTTTCATATGACTATAGATGGCTTTAATTTCTTCATCTGAGAACTGTCTGTTCATATCCTCTGACCATTTATCAATTGGGGAATGGCTTGTAGTCTTATAAATTTGTCTTAATTCTCTATATAATGGAGGCATTTCTTAAAAGAACATTAAACAAGTCAGTGATTTGGAATGTAGTACAAAGCATTCTTATTGATCAGGGGAACATGATCTTGGGGAATGGGATGTTGGGCAGCATGTCACATCCTATCATTTGTTAATTGCACTTACTGTACCATCTCTGTCTTCCCTTGCAAAATCTTTCCTGCAGAACTTCAGAAGTTGCTAAGAAACGCAAGGCAGAAGAAGCAGATGGAGAGATTCCCTGTAAGGTCAGAGTGTCTGATCCCACAAGCAGCTCTGAGAGCTCAGAGGAGGAGAAGGAACAGCAAGAGAGAGGGGAGAAAACAGTGAAAAGTAAGTCTGGCATGTAGGCCTGAAGAAGAACGCGAGGAGCCACGTGAGGTCTCTAGCACCCCAGGCTTTGAATTTGCAGCCCTGTTTCGCCCCTCCCTTCTGCCCATCCCAGAACTCTGGCAGGCTGCCCCCTTTCCTAGTGGTGTTGGTGGTTCATGTTCATCGAATCTAAGCAAGTGACAATTGTACCTTTGAGTTAAAAAGACGACTGAGCCTCTTGGGATTGGCTCTCCCCACAACCTCTCTTTTTAATTAAGCTCTGACAATACTTTGGTGGGTTTTGGCTACCTCAAGTGGTATTTTACAGAGGTTGGGATTGGGAATGTCTAGCCAGAAAGGAAGCCAGCAGAGGAGAAGGCAGAGGAGGTGTTAGTATGGGTCTCGTGTGTAGGAGAGCTGTGTTGCCTAAGAAAACTAGCAAGTTTTTTGTGTGTTCCTCTGTGAGGGCATCCTTCTGAAAACCTGGAGAAAATCCATCTGGAGCCTAGTTTGGATTTTCTTGTAGTTAAAGATAAGACTTGCGCTAGTACAGGGTTTATTATTATTAGTGGAAAAACATCCTGAGCCTTGATGAACCACAGTAATCTGGAGTCTGGACAGCGTTTCTCTTGTCCCTTGAGCCCTATGTCTAGACTGTTCCCTAGATAATAAATATCCATTTTTATCCTTGCATGCCTGCCCTGGCTGGGAAGGGGGTGGGTTCTTGCCTAACCAAGCTACGATTGACTCTGGCCCCTTCCCCATGTTTCAGCTACCAAAGTGCTATCCTCCAACTCTGTGTCTGTGATAAAGGGCATGCAATGCAAGAATTCACTGTCAGAACCTAAGGAGAATGTCAAGGTGAGCAAAAAGACGGCTTCTCATGAATCGGTGTGTTTGTGTGCTACAGTCCTGGCAGCTGACATCCTGCACAGTCTCGTAAAAGCCTGGAGTTAAGTGTAGATGACTAGGCCTGGAGAAGGAGGCCAGGGAAGTACACTTCCTGGTGGTCCTGTAGTTGCTTCATCTAGGCTATCAGTCCATTTTTCTACTACTTGCACTTAGAAATCATAAAATTTTAGAGCTGTAAACAACAGTGGTTTTCATACTTTTTGTTCCCAGGATCCCTTTAAACTCTTTAAAATGATTGAAGACCTTCCGAAGAACTTTTATTTATATGGATTATATCTATCAACATTTATTTAATTAGACTTTAGAAGTGTCTTAGTATGATTTTGAAAATAGTCTTGACTTCAAAAACCCCCTGAAAGTGTCTCAAGGACCCTCAAGGGTCACTGGACCACACTTTGAGAACCTCCACCTTAGAAATTAGTCCAAATGCCTCATTTTGCAGATTCCCCCTCTCCTCCCAGAGGCCCCATATAGCTACTAAATGGTACAACCACTAGAACCCAAATCTCCAGACTCTAAGGTTAGTGTTTTTTCCTCTGTATCTTAATTCCCCTTAGTTGTCTATCTCCTAAATTTTCTCATCAGGAAAGAAGAGATCAATTGCCTTTATAAAATGTCACTGAGGGAAAGAGAAGAGATTTAGATACAGGCCTCCCAGAAACCTTCACTTGTAAAGCTTCCGTTGTCAAAACCCACCGTCTTCATTCCCTCATTTAATAATCTTTCAATGCCTGCAGTATGCAAAGCACTGCCATGCACTGTCGGAGATAGGTAACTAAGACCTGGTCCTTACTTTTAGGGAGCTAACAGTCTAGCCAAGAATACGACACATGCACAGATATTCAATGCTACATAATGTATGATGACTAATGCAGCAAAGAATACTGTAAGAGATGTACAAAGTGCACTGAAGTTTAACAAAGGAAAGGATGTCTCCAGCTGGGAGTACCAGAGAAAGCTTTAGGGAGGGGTTGGCATTTGATTGGAAGGAATGGGTAGGATTTTAACATGCAGAGATTGTGGGGGAGGATATCTTAGCTATATGGAACAATTTGAGTAGAGGCCAGAGAATGTGGGCTATATATGAAGGAAAGCAAATACTGCAATTTGTTGGAATAGCTTAGCGTGGAAAGGAATAGTATGAGATAAGATTGGAAAGATGGAGAGAGGTACCAGGCTGAGGAATAAGGACTTTGTTTAATAGGTAATAGTACTTTTAGCACAGGAATGACAATAGATTATAGGTTCATAGATTTAGACCTTGGAAGGGACCCTTGAAAGGTGACTTTATTTTCAAAGAAGAGAAAAACTGAGACCCAGAGAGTCTTGGTTCAGGTTCACTTGGGTAATGCTACTAACAAGCGGTAGAGCTTCAAGTCAAACCCAGGCTCAATACCACCAAGTCTAGTGCTCTGTCTGCTGTACCATGACTGTCCCTGTTCGTGGATGAGGAAGACAAATGTGGCAGTCATGTGGCAGGTCTCAGGTACAGAGACTGAGAGACCAGTTAGGAAGCTGTTTCCAGTAGTTGTGCACGAGGCTGGTGGCAGGAGGCATGCAGAAGAGGGATAGTATTGTCCAGGCAGATCATTAGTATCAGATTTAAGAAACCTTAGAGTGGAAAAGCTCCTCAGTGGGCATCGAGTCCAGTCTGATCTAATGTATGAATCCTCTTTCTAATCCTGTATTCAGTAATAGCAGCAACATCTGCTTGAAAAACTGCCAGTGACAGGGAATTTGGGTGAATTGAGAGGGTAGGGAACAGCTCAGGAAAAAGCTTCTGGCATTAGCAGATGTGAATTCTAACCAGGTGGGATGCCTCAATTTGGCATTTTGTCATTCTTTTTACCCAGCCTCTCAGTGCTTTGCTATTAAGGCAGAAAGATGTGGGTATCCTGGGCACGGCCCATCTGTTATTCCTGATCTTAAATAGAGAGTAACTAATTCCCGCCACCAAACCCTGAGGCTGAAAATCCCCATGTGCTGTGTGGCACTAATAGACCTTCATTGTGCCCCTAGGAACACAAGGGCTTTTCCAGCGAGATTGTGAGAGCTCGGGAGCTTGGCCTCAAGGGCCTTGAGGTCCTCTTTGCTTGGTACCCTCTGCATTAGGAGCCCCCAAACTGTAGGCTGCCAGTGGTCAGCCACTACAGCCTGTGCAGAGAGAGAAGTCTAATCCAGAGTTTCCCTTGGATCTGTGCAGGGACAGACACTGTAGCCCTCATTCCTCTGCAAATGCCATTGGGTAATTGAAGAGTCAACCTTAGAGGTCATCTCGGCCAACTCACCTCGTTTTACAGATAAGGAAACTGAGGCTGAAAGAGTTTTAAGTGGCATTCCCAAGGTCACAGAAGTGGTCATGCATCGAGCTGAGGGCTGAGCTTAATACAGAAGAGTGGAGAGTGGAGCAAGCCTGTGAGGATGGACAGAAGGTTGGCAGAAGGAATGGGGGAGGAAGGAAAGTGTCCTCTTGAAGGATTGGCTGGCACTTTCAGCTATGCAGGGGACTGTCGTCCAGCTTCACACACGTAGGATGAGCCCCAATCGGAACTCTTTCTGTTGCACCCAAGAGCGGGGCCCTTGCTCTGTGCCTGGGGGAGGATAGAAAGCCCGTAGCCGGCTGAGGTGGCAGGGGCTTGGCCCGGTTTCTTGGCAATGACATGTGCCGCTAGATCACAAGCAGCTCTTGGGAGGAAGGCTGGGCACTTGCTGTGTGACTGTGGGCAAGCCGCGTAGCCCCTTTTGGCCTCAACTTCCTCATCTGCAAAATGGAAGAGGTTGGACTAGTTGACCTGAGGTACCTTGTGGGTCAAACATGAATCCAGTTATTGTGACCCATGGGACCAAGTCGAAAAAGTCTGCAGCACTTTAACAGAGGGACTCCTTCACAACAACCCTATGAGGTCATCATCATTCTCATTTTATAAATTAGGGAAAATGAAGGTCAGACCTTTTAAAAAAGGATTTACTTAGGTTGCAACCTGCTGTAGGTCCCCTGGCTCCCAAGTTTAGCATTCTTCCCATGATATCATTGAGTTAAGATATTAAGCAATAGCTCTCCTGTCATTTTCTTCCTCTTTTCTCCCATTCCTGCTTCTCCAGGCCAAACATTCCTTCATCCCATTCATCAGTGTGAATGTTGTAGAAAGATCCAAGACACTTTCTAGATATCTCTGTCTATTATCTGCAATTATGGTTGTTTCTCTTTCTTATGTAGACAAAGAATAAGAAAGGAACCATTAAGACCGTGGTGACCTCTGCCTCACACCCTGACCCCCTTGAAGCACAGACCACCTCTGGAAAGCCAGGTCCAACCGTGTCAGTACAGTCCCCTTCCAAAAAGTCCCCAGCAGCCCCCAGAAAGCAGGCAGCACAGTCTTCGAGCAATAGCTTGGCCACACACAGTGAGGAAAAGGTTGCTTCCCCTGTTGTTCCAAGACCTGGTAAGAGGATTTTCTCCCATTACCTCTTGAATTGTTGAGACGTTCCTGGGTTCAGGGGAAGGCTGGCTTGTGCCCTTGTCCTCAGAGCACAAGACCTTATCCCTGAAATGAAGGGACCAGAAGGAGTCATCTTTTCTTGGCAGGGCAGGAGTTATCTTCCCTCCTGCCCCACCTCCCTATACATTACATAAGCATCTTGCTCCTTCCTTTGGGTTATGATGTGCTTATAACAACATAGGGGAGGAATGGGGGACCAGGTGATGCTTTGTGGTGCCTGTCAGAGATGCTGGAAAAGGAATTCCTGCCTCGGGTTCAAGGTTGGCCTAGGTGACCGCAGAGGTTAAAAGGTAGTTCTGAGGTTTGAATCTTCCTGTTTTCCCAGTCTGCTTCATGTCCCTTTCTGCTGAATGGAGAGTACAGCCTAAATACAGTTTTAGCCCCTGAAGGAGCAGAGATGCCACTGGTGAAGGAAAGAGACAATGAGCTTGTTCTGGGTCCCTTCAGTCATTATTAGACATTTGCTGTGTGCAGGTACTTGTAAGGGATACAGAGATATAGAAATGCATGGGAGGAGTAAGCCTTTATGTAGCACCTACTGTGTGCCAGGCACTGTGCTAAGCACTTTACCAATATTATCTCATTTGATCCTCATAACAACCTTGAAAGGTATTTGCTATTATTATCCCCTTTTTACAGTGGAGGAAACTGAGGTAAACAGAGCTGAAGTGACTTGCCCAGGGTCTTACAGTTAGGATGTGCCTGAGGCTGGATTTGAGTTCAGGTCCTCCTGATTCCCTGCCTGGCACCACCTGCTGCCTGCTGGAATAAGGCACAATGTCCCCATGTTGTGGAATTAAGCCTTAGTGCATTCATATACATATATTGAAACAGCTCTAGGCAGATGCTTTAACACATAAGGAGTAGAGCAACTAAACAAAGATAGTTATGAGGTTTGGGGGTCACCGCTCTTGGTTGGTATTTGGCTCCCTAGCCTTTAGGGAGATAGGATCTGTTCTGATGAGAGAGCGGTGGCAGGCGCGCATCTCACATCTCCCTCCTGCCCCAGCCCCAGTGCCTCCAGACAAGAAGACAGAGAGCAGCAGCGAGGACTCCTCAACTGATGAGACAGATATAGAGGTAATTGCCACATTCCTCTTTCTATCCTGGCACCCCTCTCCCCTCCCCAGCAGCCTAGTATTGATGGCAGCCAGTCCCCCCAGCTGCCTGTAGAATCAGTGTTTTTTATGTCTTTATTCGGTAAATATTGAGTATCCAGTCTGTGCTAGGCCTTCTGGGGCATACATGGTCACTTGCCCTCATGGAGCTTACAGTTTGTTAGGGTGGGTAACACAAGTAAGACAGTGGCCTGATCTCTTCCTTTTAGCTATTATCAGATTATATAAGGCACCCTTGGAAACTGTAAAGCTGTGGCACGACTTTTACTATTTAGTTTGATGTTTTGTTTTTTGCAGGGGGGGAGGGGAGCAGGATGGGGGGCTCTCGGCAGCACAATAGGAGGGAGAATATCCAGACATCCAGACATATAAGAAATGTTCGTTTCATTCAACGGTTGACTATTAGAGATCGCCTCTCATCATCCTCAGCCCTGTAAACTCCTGGACAGCGGGGGCCATAGCTCATTTGTCTTCATATTCCCTTAGCGTCTAGGAGGCTGTTCCATATAGACACCAACAAAAGTGTTGGTTGATTTTGTTGCTGGTGTCAAATTCTAGTAAAACCAAAACCATTTTGTTATTCCCTTGCTGACTAAATGGTCTTTGGTTTTCGAATAAAAATGTTGAATGCTCTAAATCTATTTAATTCTAAATCTGGTTTTTTCCAGTCCTTTGCATTTTAAATTAATAAATTAATAGGGTGATCATGTATTAGGTGATCAGAGTGAGAGAATGTTTGTGTTGATCTTTTATTTTTTATGCCCTGGTCTCCTAGTCATGCTGCAGTGGAGCTCTGTTACTAGACCCTGAATGGTTCCCCTGGAATTTCATTGAGCTCAGTGTAGACAAGTAGAACAGAGTGGGAGAATATGTTTTGATGCAGTTAATGCAGTAGTATACTTGTCTGACTTCTACTTTTGCATATTTTCCCTGCCCCAATTAGGTCACTAGGTTGGACCACTAACATAATGTCCCTTCCTTTGATCAGATGGAGAAAGCAGTGGGAACTCCCCAGGGCAAGTCTGCCCTGGTGAGAGGTGACTCTGCTGCCTCAGTTCCCACCAAGGGGTCCCAGAAGAAAATGATCACACCATCTCCTGGGAGATTGGTGACTGAGCCTCTGACAGCCAAGGAGAAGCGACCAGAAGAGACCTCTGAGAGCAGTGATGAATCTGAGAGTGATGAGGATGTCCCAACACCTCAGGGACAGGTGAGGCTTTGGGGGAAGGGCAGCGTAGGTGTAGCTGGGTTATCAAATAAGCCTTTGCTCAGGAAGAATATACTTCTGAATTGATAAAGGCCGAGTCCTGAGGCTTCCTCTTTCCTTTGGACCCTGCAGGGGGGAGGTTGAGGTTTCCCCTAGAATAGCCCTTTGAGTTGAGACAATCACTTTTTTATGTATCCTGCCTTAAAAAAATTGAAGCTAGTGATGATGATGGTGATCTCCCATCAGTGGAAACTCTTTAGCTGAAAAGCTACCATGAGGTTCCAGGGGAAAGGGATTGGCTTCAGCTTCTTGGGGAGGGGGCAGTGCAGGGCTTCTTAAACTTTTTCCCCTTGAGAACCATGGTTTAAGAAGCACTGGGTTAGAGAACATAGCCCAAGGCCATTCAAAGCTGGGCAGCCCCTGGAAAGCCCTCAGAGCAGGCCAATGCGCAAGGCATCCCCAGTGTGCTAAGGAGAAGCGTCTCTCTCACTCAGTCCTCATTAACCACAAGGGAAGCATTTGTAAGTTTCCTTGCCTGGTGAGACGTCTTCATTCTAAAAAGGGTGAAGGAACTGCTGACTCCCATTACCCTCATTTTCATGTTTCAGCATGACATGGGGGAAAGACCAGTGGAATTTTAATCAAAGGTTCTGGGTTTTTATCCCAAAAGTGCCACTGATTAACTTTGTGAGCTTGAGCAGGTCATTTAACTTCTGGGGCCTCAGTTTCCTCATCTGTAAAAATTAATGGGTTGGGCTAGTTGGTCTCAAAGTTGCCTTCTGGTTCTAGAGCCTTTGAGTTCTGCTTTATGATTCTAGACACAAGTGAAAACGCTTCATCTTGGTGAAGTACCAGGGAGGGTAGGCAAGACCACTCCAAACACGGGGAAAACTGTCACTCCATCCTCCAGACCAAATTTGGGACTGCCCTCCAAGGCAGAGGAGAGCTCAGAGAGCAGCGAGGAGTCAGAAAGTGAAGAGGAGGATACAGAGCCTCAGAGACACCAGGTGAGACCTGGGGGAGGGATTAGGTTAAAACAGGGGTGGGGAACCTGTGGCTGTGAGGCCACATGTGGCCTTCTAGATTCTTGGGTACAGTCTTTTGACTGAGTCTAAGTTTTACACAACAAATCCTTTTATTAACAGGATTTGTTCAGTGACATTTGGATTCGGTCATAGGGCCACGGTTGAGGACTGAGAGGGCCACGTGTGGCCTGAAGCCTGAAGGTTCCCCACTCATGGAACCTTGTTGATCTCCAGGTAGTCTGGCCTATTCTAGGTCTTTGTGACTTGGAAATGAATCAGTCCTGGGGTCCAACAGAGCTACTTGACTGGGAGTGGGAGTTGTGGGTAGAATTTGACTTACTTCTCATCTTATTGTGCCAGTATCCATCTTGAAATTTGCTTTCCAACAGAAAGTGCAACTTTGGCTCCCAGTTAGAAGTCCCCTTAGTTCCTGACCTCCCTTTGTCTTCTCCACACGGTGTAAAGCTGACAATGATAGTTCTCTAGGTCAGCTTTGAGGGGAGGAGGCTCTTGTCACTCCATGTTCCATCAGGACCCACCCCAAAAAGAGAGTGACTGGCTTACTCCTGCTCTCTAGAAATTAAGTAGCTGTCAAGGCCAAGATGAAAGGGCCTAGACCACTGAGAAATTAGGTGACTTGCTCAGGGTCACACAACCAGAGGGAGAATATGAAGTTGAACTCAGGTCTTCCTAGTTTTGAAGCTAGCCCTGTCCTACTACATTGTGCAGTCTCTGACAGTTACATTTTTCATAGTGTTTCATTGTTTCCAACTACATGTAAAGACAAATTTTTAATATTAATTTAAAAAATGTTTTTCCTCCCCTAAAACAGTAAACAATTTAATATAGGTTATATATGTGCAGTCATGTAAAACATTTCCATGTTAGTCATGTTATGAGACAAGAAACAACTTTCCAGTTCTCATGGAACTTTGGAATTGTCTGACAGTTATATTAATGTGGCTAAATCGGGTTTGGTATAGTGGAAAGAGGAAAGCACTTGTGTTCCCTCCCAAACTTCTTCAAAAAGTAGTCCTTTAGTAGCTCCTAATTCCTCACTCTTTTACTCATTCCTGGATTCTGCTTTCTGGATTCTCCCCCACTCAGTATTAATGGAATCACAGAATTGGAAAGTTGATATAGACCTCTGGTCCAACCCATACTTGAAAGAACTCAACTAAAATTATTCTCTCCAGAACCACTATTAGCTTCCTGATCATCAGTTCTTGACTCTTTTTCTCAATCCTTATCCTTCTTGACCTTTCTGACACTTTTTTTAAAGTCTGGATCTTCCTGTTTTGCCCCATGCTGAAAGTACAGGGGCTGCTCAGGTGGTCGGTCTCACTACTGATTGACGGGGATCTTTGACCCCCATTTCCAACCTGGGCAGGTTCACTCCTCCTTAGGCAACCTCGCAGGTAATCCCAGGGCCCACCATATTAAAGCTAAATTCAGTGCTGACACCCAGTTGGCTCAGCCCACTGCATCCCAGAACTCCCCGGCTTGAGATCCAATAACCTTAGCATCCCTGGCAGCAGTATACAGGGAGAGGCTGCCACATCTGGCATCATTTTTCTTAATGCTGTCTCCCTCTTTGACTTCCCTAACCTAGAACTTTTATAATACTACTGCCTTCCTATATTTTTTGTTTACCTCACTCATCTTCTTTCAGTTTCCACCCACTCAATAGAGAGAACCCCCTGTCATTGCCCATGTTCTGTCTTAGAAATATCATCTACTTCCGCATTTTCAAGTTCCACTTCTTTGTAGAGACTTTCAGGTCTGCCCTGAGCTTGAGACTTGCATTTCCAAATATTAGAGACCTTGATGTGTCCCACATGCCCCTCAAAACTCATGTCCAAAACCGAATTACTCCTATCTTTCTGGCTGCTTCTGTTGATTGCTTTTTTCTGTTAATAGCACCACTACTCTCTGAGTTTGACCCAGGCTCTTCATCGCCGTGGCGTCTTGCACTGCCCGCTCTCCCTCATCCTGCACATTGAATGAGTGTCCAGGCCCTGTTCATTCTCCCACCACAGTGTCTCCCAAACCCCTGTGTTTATGCTTCCATTTGTCATCATCCTGCCTTGCCCAGGAGTTGGTTCTTAACCTCCTTTGTGTTCTGCCCTTTGGCATTCTAGAGAAACCTATGGCCCCCTTCTCAGAATGGTTTTAAATGTAAGAAATAAAATAAGTAGGATTATTTGAAGAAACAATTATACTTAAATGCAGTTACCAAAATACTTTAAAAAAACAAGTGCACAGAGCCACCCCCAGGTTAAGAGCTCCTGCCTCACCTACTACAGTTGTTCCTGGTCTCTTTCCCCATAATCTATTTTTTACAACCCTGCCAGATTGAGATCCCATATATTGCTTCATAGGAGCCTTGTGAGAAGGGTAGTAAAAGCATTATGATCATCATTTTACAGACAGCAAGACTGAGGCCCAGAAAGGTTAAGTCGCCTACCTGCCTATCACCACATAGCTAGTAAATGTTAGAGGTGAATTTAAGGCCAGAAGTCCAGCCCTCTATTGGTTACACCATCCTTTCCTTTTCAGTCAGGGGGTATAGAAAGCCTGAAATCATCACACCTGGATTTGCATTCCTGGTTCTCCTTTGTGACCTTGAATGAGGTACTTAACCTACCCAAGTCTTAGTTTATCCATCTATCAGATGAGGTGTTTGAAAAACTCTCTGATTATCTTAAGGTGATGGTATCAAAATGAAACATCTATGTATGTGGTGTTTTGTAACCACCAAGCGCATGTACCTGTAAGCCTGTAAGTTACGTAAGACAATCTCTCTCTCTCTCTCTCTCTCTCTCTCTCTCTCTCTCTCTCACACACACACACACACACACACACATACACACAGCATGCGAATGTTTAATTTTATAGTAATTAAGATTCATAAAAATAGGACAATTTTTTCACACTCCTCCCTCTCAAGTATTTTAGGCCAAAGTGCACTTTCATGAATATAAACTTTGTTTCTTTTATTCATCCCTTAATTTTGTCTCCTATCCCTAACTGTTGAGATACTATACATTTTTAAAGACCCTGATTCAAAGTTGCCTCTCCCAGGAAGTCTTCCTTGATCTTTGCAGATCTGTTAATCTCTCACTCATACATTTCTTACACTATAGTTATTTACATCTCTCTAAGCTTCCATATAGTTATTTACATTTATCTCTAAGCTTCCATACCAGACTATAAGCCTCATACATATCTTTTTTTGGTCTTTGTCTCTTCCTCAGAGCCCAAGCATAGTACTCTGTACGTGATAAGTGGAGTTTTTTTTTTAATAATTTAATTTAATTTAATTTTAGTGTTATTTGGTTATTCCATGTTTGATAGGCATCGTCAAATATAAGCATTTCCATAGACACTGTACACAGAGGAATAAGGCGGGAAAAAAGGATTGTGCATAAAACCGTGAATCTATTATTTCAGCTGGTATTTTAAAAAGAATATAATAAATTCCACATGTTAGTTTTCAAGCTGTCCTGCTTATCTGTTTCCATCTGAACCTCCTTCTGTTTATAAAATTTTAAAAATGCTACGATGATTCTGAGTTTTTTTGTATTCCTCTTGCTAGTCCCCATCTCCCTCCCTTATCCCCTCCCCTACCATTTTTTTCCTTTTAAAAAGAAGTTTACTTGTTTTGACGTGCGTTTATAATCTGTTCCATTGACTACCCCCTCCATACACACATATTTAAACATATGCTGAACAATAACGAGAGGAAAAAAACCTTCAAGAAACAAAACCCTCATCATAAACATGTGTTGTCCAGCAAAACAAATTCCTACATTGGCCATGTCCCAAAATGTATGTCTCTTTCTGCATTTTAAGGTCATTTGTGCTAAGATTGGTGGTATGCCTTATCTTCGGTCTTCTGGACCTGTGGTTGCATTGATCAAACTTCTAACATCTTTCGAAGTTGTTTTTCTCTACAGTGATGTGTAAATTGTTCTAGTTCTGCTTACTTTATTCTGCATCAATTCATAAAGCTCTTCTCAGTTTCCTTAAAAATTGTCCATTTTATCATTTCTTGTGGCACAATAATATACAATAAGTTCATACAGCATAACTTCTTAAGCTTTTGTTTAATAGGAAGTTAACCCCGTGGTTTCCAGTTTGGGGCTGCTGTAAAAAAGAGCTGTGGTAAATACTTTTGCACACACAGATCCTTTTTCTCTTTGGGGGGTAGGTCTGGTACTGGTATGCCTGGGTCAGAGGGTTGCAGTTTTATAACCCTGGAGAGTGTAGTTACAAATTGCTTCCTAGGATGGTAGGACCAGGTCACAACTTCACAACAGTGCAGTACTGTGCCTATTTTCCAAAGCCCCAACAATTGTCATTTCCGTCTTTTATCATCTTTGCCAGTTTGATGGATATGATGTGAAACATCAGTTGCTTTAATTTGCATTTCTCTAATTATTAATGATTTAGTCATATCAAGTCAGTGCCCAGCACATAGTAGGCGCTTATTGACTAGACTTTAGAGCATTTTTTCATATTGTTTTTGATAGCTTGGATTTCTTCTATAGGAAACTGTCTTCATATTCTTTAATCATGTATCTGTTGTTTCCCTCCAAAGTTAAAAATAAAAAACAGCCCTTGTAACAAATAAGCATAGGCAAGAAAAATAAATACACGTCCGAAATCCTGTACCTCCGTTTCTTCCTCAAGTCTCCTGCCTCTTGTGTCAGGTGTGGGCAGCTTGCCTTGTAGTCGCCACCTGGAGTAGCTGTTGGTTGTTGCGTTGGTCACGATCCTTGCATTCTGTTTGTTTCGTTCTGCATCAGTTTATTTACCAGGGCTTTTCAGGTTTCTTTGAAACTCTCCTTTCTCATTTCTTATGGCATAATAGTATTCCATTACATTCATATACCACAGTTTGTTCGTCCATTCCCCAATGATGGTCAGCCCCTCACCCCCTTCCCCACTCCCTACCCCCAGTTCCCAATTATTTGCCACTACTAAAATTGCTGCTAAAAGATTTTTTGTACATAAGGGTGCTTTTCCTCTTTCTTTGATCTCCCTGGAGGCTGGGGGGATAACAGGGAAGGTATTATTGAAAGCCTAGGAGTGTTTAGAGCACATATACAGTTTAGTGAGTTTTGGGGCATAGTTCCAAATTGCTTTCCAGAATGGCTGTACCAATCACAGCTCCACCAACTGTGAATTAATGTGTCCATTTTCCCTTAGACCTTCTAACAGTGATCATTTTAATTTTTTTTCCACCTTTGCTAATTTGAAGGGTTTGAAGTAGAAAGTTTTAATTGTTTTAATTTGTATATCTCTATTGATGATTTGGAACAGTTTTTTCATATGGTTGTTGATAGCTTGGATTTCTGTCTTTGACAACTACATATTTTTTCTTTTTTTCTTTTTTTTCAATTTTATTGATGTATTTATTTTTAGTTTTCAACATTCACTTCCACAAGATTTTGAGTTCAAAATTTTCTCCCCATCTCATCCCTCCCCCACCCTAAGATGGCATGCATTCTTTTTTTTTTCTTTTTTTTTTTTTAGGCAGTTGGGGTTAAGTGACTTGCCCAGGGTCACACAGCTAGTAAGTGTCAAGTGTTTAGTCTGAGCCTGGATTTGAACTCAGGTCATCCTGACTTCAAGACCAGTGCTCTATCCACTGCGCCACCTAGCTGCCCCTGATGGCATGCATTCTGAATACTCCTTCCCCTAATCTGCCCTCCCTTCTGTCTCCCCCGCCCCCTTCCCTTATGCCTTTCCCCTTCTATTTTCCTGTAGGGCAGGATAGATTTCTGTATCCGTTGCGTGTATATCTTATTTCCCAGTTGCATGTGAAAACAATTTTTAACATTTGTTTTTAAAACTTTGGATTCCAAATTCTCTCCCTTCCTCCCTCCTCAACCACCCTCATTGAGAAGCAACTCAGTGCAAGTTATACATGTATAGTCATGCAAAACACTTCTGTAGTAGTCATGTTATGAAAAAATTAACTATATTTCCCTTCATCTTATGCCACTCCCCATTTATTCTATTCTCTCTTTTAACTCCATCCCTTCTTAGAAGTGTTTGCTTCCGATTACCCCCTCCCCCAATCTGCCCTCCCCCTATCATTCCCCTGCTCTCTTAGCCCCTTCCTCCCTATTTTCCTACAGAGTAAGGTAGATTTCCATACCCAATTGAGTGTATATGTTATCCCCACCTTAAGCCAAATCCGATGAGAATAAGATTCACTCATTCCCTCTCACCTTTCCCCGTTTCCCCTCCACTGTAAAAGCTTTTTCTTGTCTGTTTTATGTGAGATAATTTACCCCATTCTACCTCTCCCTTTCTCTTTCACCCAGGACAACTACATATTTTTAAAAAGAAAATAAAACTACATATTCATATTCTCTGGCCATTTATCTATTGAAGAATGGCTGTTCTTTTTTTTTTCCTTAATTTGTTTTTAGTTTTCAACAATCACTTCCATATGCTTTTGAGTTTAAAATTTTTGTCCCCCTCCCTCCCCAAGAAGGTATGCAATCTGATATAGGCTATACATATACATTCCTATTAAACATATTTTCGCATTAGTCATGTTGTAAGGAAGAATTAGAACCAATAGGAGGAACCACAAGAAAGAGGAAACAAAACAGAAGGGAAAAAATAATAAATAGTATGTTTCAATCTGCATTTAAACTCCATAGTTCTTTCTTTGGATGTGGAAAGCATTTTCCATCATGAAACTTTTGGAGATGTATTAGATCCTTGCATTACTGAGAAAGGGCTAAGTCTATCAAAGTTATCACACAATGTGGCTATTATTGTGTACAATGTTCTTCTGGTTCTGCTCACTTCCCTCAGCATTAGTCCGTATAAGTCTTTCCAGGTTTTTCTGAAATCTGCCTACTCATCATTTCTTACAGCACAGTAGTATTCCACTACATTCATATACCACAACTTGCTCAGCCATTCCCCAGTTGATGGGCATCCCCTCGATTTCCAATTCTTTGCCACCGCAGAAAGAGCTGCTATAAATATTTTTGTACATGTGTGTCCTTTTCCTATTTGTATGATCTCTTTGGGATACAGCCCTAGAAGTGCTATTGCTGGGTCAAAGGGTATGAACAATTTTGCAATCCTTTGGGCATAGTTCCAAATTGCTCTCCAAAATGGTTGTGTCATTTCACAACTCCAACAATGCATTAGTGTATGGCTCTTGTTCTTATGAATTTGAATCAATTCCTTGAACACAAATCTTGGACACAAGACCTTTATTAGAAAAACTTGTTGCAGAAATTTTTTACACATTACCTGTTTCCCTTCTAAGTTTAACCATATTGGTTTCATTTGTACAAAACTTAAAATTTTATACAACCAAGATTATCCACTTTATCTTTCGTCATCCTTTCTATCTCCTTGTTTGGTCATGAACACTTCTCTGATTTGTGGATCTGAAAGGTAATTTCTTCTTTTTTATCTCTGTTTATGATACTACCTTTTATATCTAAGTCATACATTCATGTAAAGCTTGTCTTAATACATGGTATGAGATGTTAATCATTACCTAATTTCTGCCAGACTCCTTTCCAGTTTTCCCAGCAGTTTTTAATTAAATAGTGAGTCTTTACCCCAGTAGCTGGGGTTTTGGGGTTTATTGAACACTATAGGGGAAAGACAGTCTTGTCACATATCTATCCCTAGGTCTAAGTGTTTGTTTCTGTGTGTTTAAATGAGAGCAGGAAGTAGCCTTCAGATGGGTTGAATTCTCCATTGTCACATTTTCTCTCCTACCAGGAATTCTAGGACCCTTTAATTTGAGACTTTGCATCATCTAATTCTTTGCTCATCCCGTTTCTTTTTCTTTGAATGAAGCCATCTGTGAAGAGGACTGCAGTCCATCCCTCACATAGTTACAAAAACTAATTTCCCAGGTCCCAGGTCTGACTTTGTCATTCCCTTCTCCAGAACCATCAGTGACTCCATGTTGCCTCTTGAGATAAAATACGTCCACTTAGCCTGACATTTCAGGCTCTTCACAATCTTGTTCCAGTCTGTCTTTCTCCTCCTTGTTCATATTCTTCTTTATACACTCTGAATTCCAGCCAGACTGGATTGCTAGCTTTTCCTTTCATTCAAAGTTCTCAGCAGGGCAGCTTGGTGTAGATGTAGTATCAGACCCAGAGTCAGGAAGATCTGAGTTCCAGCCTCCCCTCAGACACTTAATAGCTATGTGACCCTGGGCAGGTCACTTCACCTCTGTCTGTAAAATGAGGATGATAATAGTACCTGTTTCCCAGGGTTGTTGCTTGGCTCAAATAAGATATTTGTAAAAAGTGCTCAGCACAGTTCCTGGCACATAGCAGACTCTCTATAAATATTAGCTATGGTGGGGATGATTACTTGCTTTATTTGCCTTCGAGGTTCGGCTCATGAGCCACCTCCCTCACAAAGTCATCCTTGAGTTTCCTGCTTACCCTCTGATTTTCACTCCTAGCTGAAAGTATTTTCTCCCTCCTTTCTTGCCTTGTATTACCTTCCCCTTTCCTTTTCTTTGTATCCCTGTTGACTAACAGTGCTTTGTACATGGTAGGTGATTATTGAATGTTTGTTTGTTTGTTTGTTTGTTTGTTTTCTTCAGGTTAAAACCACCCCAGCCTCTGGTATCAAAGTATCCCCATGGCAAGGGGCCCTTCCTGTTCCTGGTAAGTCAGTGACTTCGAACCTCCAGGTCAAGGCAGCAGAGCCCAGAAGTCAAGAGACTAGTTCTGAGAGCAGTGATGAAGACGTCTCAGCGCCACAGGGACAGGTGATGCCTCCCACCAATCCCCTGGCACCGGGGGCTAAGCTGCCACTGCCTAGTGAGCCCTGCAGGTGTGCAGCTCTGTAGTAAAATGTATGTCTCCGTTGGGGCTGGTTGTTTGTTACTCAGGGAAGGCTATAGATCTGAAAGGAATACTCACTGTGAATCTCAGATTTCTTTCCCTTTGTCTTCTTTCCTTCTGATCTTAGGGAAAATCATCCACGAAGACTCCCCAGGCCAATGCCATGTCAGGAAATAGAGCCCCTGCCCCCTCAAACATCACTAAAGTGCCCCTGGGAAAAGGGGCCCTCCAGGCCAAGATAGGACCCTCAGCCAGGACACCTGAATTTAGTTTTCCAGAGACTAGTTCTGATAGCAGTGAGGAGTCCGAGAGTGAAGAGGATATCATAGTGCCCCAGAGACAGGTGATACCTCATACTTTATACCAGATCCTTTGGTATAATGACCTATGCAACTCTGACAAGCAATTTATGTCTCATTTGGAACTTGTTTGCTGGTCAGGGAGAGCCATGGAAATTTGCAAAGGAATGATTCTGAATATGATTTCTTTCCCCTCTTATTCTTTTTCCTTGTGATCTTAGGAAAAATTATCAGAGAAGACTCCCCAAGCCAATGCTACACCAGTGAAAGGGACCCTTCTTGCTGTTGGAAAACCAATGACTTCAGCCCCCCAGGCCAGGACAGGGCCTTCAGCCCCCCAGGCCAAGCCGGGGCCTTCAGCCCCCCCGGCCAGGACAGGGCCGTCAGCCATGGTATCTGAACCTGGAAGTTCAGAGACTAGTTCTGAGAGCAGTGAGGAGTCAGACAGTGAAGAGGAGATCAAAGCACCTCAGGAAAAGGTGATGACTTAGACCATGCCCCTAGTTGAAGAGACCAAGCTGCCACTGGCTAGTAAGCCGTTCAGGCATGCAGCCCCTTAGTGAAATTGGTGTTTAAGTTGGGTCTTGTTTACTGGGTAAGGAATTCGCTAGTATTTGAGGGAGTCGTGGCTCTGAATCTGATTTTTTTCCCCTTTTTCTCTCCTTCCTCATTATCTCAGGGAAAATCAGCAATGAAAGTTTCCCAGATTAATGCCATTACAACAAAAGTTGCTCCTGCCCCCACCCAAAGGCCCCTGGGGAAAGAGGCCCTTTCTGCCCCTGGAAAATCAGGGACTGTGGCTTCTGAGGTCAAGGCACAATCAGCTGCTGAAACCCTTGGGTCAGAGAGCTCTGAGAGCAGCGAGGAGTCAGAAAGTGAAGAGGAAACCCCCACACTCCAAACCCAGGTGAGACTTGAGAGAGGAGGAAATGATTGTATGGGACTAGGGGTCAGGAAACATTGGCTTGAATACCAGCTTTGCCTTCCCCTCTCTGAGTCTTAGTTGTCTCATCAGCAAACTGGGAGGATTGGATCATAGGATCTCTGAGACTCCTTCTGGGCAACTAGATGATGGTGGATACAGCCCTGGGCAAGGAAGCAGGAAGATTTGTCTTCATGAGTTCAAATCCCGCCACAGACACTTACTGGCTGTATGACCCTGGGCAATCACTGAGCCTTGCTTGCTTCAGTTTCCTCATCTCTTCAATGAGCTAGAGGAGGAGATGGCAAACCACTTACTAAGAAAACCCCAAATGGGGTCTTGAAGAGTCAGATATGACTCAGCAGCAACAGAGGGTCCCTTCCACCTGTAAATCCCCTGCTCTCTCGGGGTAGAAGCACTAAAGTGGCCGCTCACTTTCTTCCCTTAACAGTTCTGATGCTCTAGTTAGTTGATTCAATTTTGCGTTGTCCTACACTTTGACTACCTTATCTCCTTGTCCTGTTGCCATACCTGCTCTGCTAGTCCTCCACCCTGGGTCACCTCTGCCTTCGCCACTTGTACTCCCAAGCTGCTGAGCGTTGTGGAGGAAGTCACACCACTGAGCAGACGGGGTCCACCACAAATTCCTGTCTCCATTCTTAACTGATCCCTCACTGTTACTCAGAAGTACTCTTGTGTTTCTTTGATTGACAGCCTATCCCATTCCACTTTGTGACTGTCCCATGCCCTTCTTTCCTTAATCCCCCAAATGCCTCCCCTTTCTTTTGACAGATGTCCTTTACTTCTGTGTAACTGAGAAAGTTGAAGCCATCCTTCATTTCCCCTACTCCACAATTCAAAATCGCTCTACGCTTTCACCCGTTTCTCCTGTTTAACTCCTGGACCCTTCAGGGCTTCCCATTTCCCTGAGGAGCCTGCCTCATCAGTCAGTCTCTCATCTTCAGTCTCACCCTATCAGCTGTCTCTTTCCTTCTTCCCTACAGATGTGTCCAGGTCTCCCCTGTCCTTAAAAAAAAAAACAAACCCAAATGCCTGCATTTGATCCTGCTATACCCTCAGGCAATTGTTTTATTTTTTCCCTGCCCACTCAGTGCTCCATTCTGTGCTATCTAGTTTCTGACTCTGCCATTTTTCTTTGTACAGTGATATTTTTTAAATAAATAAAGATATTTTCTCTCTCCCTCCCCCTGCAGTGAAGGGGATGGGGAGAATCCTTTTAACAAATATGTTTAGTCCTGGAAAGACTTATATGGACTGATGCTGAGTGAAGCAAGCAGAACCAGGAGAACATCGTACACAGTAACAGCCCAAGTTGTGCAATGAGTAACTTTGATAGACTTCTCTTCTCAGCAATGCAAGGATCTAAGACATCTCCAAAAGTCTCATGATGGAAAGTGCTATCCACATCCAAAGAAAGAACTATGGAGTTTGAATGCAGATTGAAGCATACTATTTGCTGGGTTTTTTTCTTTTGTTTTGTTTCTTCTTTCTTGTGGTTCCTCCTATTGGTTCCACTTCTTCCTTACAACATGACTAATGTGAAAGTATGTTTAATAGGAATGTATATGTAGAGACTATATCAGATTGTGAGCCATCTTGGGGAAGGAGGGGGAGAAAAATTTAAAACTCAAAAGCTTATGGAAGTGATTGTTTATAAATTAACATAATTAGTAAAAATTTTTTTTTAAACCGTGTTTAGTCAAGCAAAATATTCACCATGTCCAAAAAGTATACATCTCAATCTTCAGCCTGAATCCTCATGAGTCCTGTGGCGTTGTGGTTCATCATTGCATTGATAGGCGATCTTAAGTCTTTCAGAGTTGTTGTCTTCGTAGTCTTTGTATTGTATCCTGGTTCTGCTCATTTCACTCTATTTCAATTCAAATCTGTCTTGCTAGGTTCCTCTGAAACTGTCCCCTTGCTCATTTCTTCTAAGAAATACTACTCCACTGCATTCCCATGCCCCCAGTTTATTCAGTCATTTTCCAATGATGGTCGCTCCCCTAGTTTGCAATTATTTGCCATTACAGAAAGATGTGCTATAAATTTTTTGTGCATATGAGTCTTCTTCCTCTTCTTTTATCTTGGAGTATAGACCTAACTAGTAGTTATAAGGCATGGTCTAAGAAGATGCACAGTATATTAGCTTTTTGTGTCTCTGCTGTCTTGTTCAAATGGCACACTTCAGAGTTCTCGGTGGTCGCTTAATTTAATGACTTTTTCTCAATTCTTATCCACCTTGACTTCTCTGAAACCTTTCATCCTATTATGTTATCCCCACTATATTCTCTTCCCTTGGTTTCCATGACATGTTTCTTGAACAGTTCTCTTTCCGGTATGGCTGTTCCTTCTCTTTCTTATTTTCTGGATCATCAGTGTCCTACACCCTGATGAGGCCCTGTTCCAAGCTATGTGTTGTCTCTCAGATGTAGATAGATAGATGTATAGCTATACATATAGACAGATAAATAGATGTATGTATAGATATAGAGATTGATATATGTATAGATAGAGATAGATATAGGTAGATGGATAGACAGATATAGATAGATGGCTAGAGAAATACATGTCCTTAACTGCTGTCCTGAACCCTTCTTCCCACTCCAGTCTAACTGCTTTCCAGACAGCTCCACCTGAATGTGCCTTTACCATCTCAAGCTCAATATGTCTCAAAATGATTCTTTTTTTTTTTTTTGGCTAGGCAGTGGGGTTAAATGACTTGCCCAGAGTCACACAGCTAGTAAGTGTCAAAGTGCCTGAGGCCAGATTTGAACTCAGGTCCTCCTGACTCCAGGGCTGATGTTCTATCCACTGCATCACCTAGCTGCCCCTCAAAATGATTCTTGTCAAGCTCCCTTCCGCTTGTTTAAATCTCCCCTTTTCAAGAACTCATCTATTTCTGTTGACAACGCTGCCATCTTCCAAGTCCTTCAAGTTTGTGACCTTGTAATCATCACTTCCTCTTCCCTCTTCCTATCCTTCTATATCCAGTTAGTCCCCACGTCTTATCCCTTTCACATCTCCCTCATCCTTTCCCTTTTTTTTCCATCCTTTTAGCTATCATTCTAGATCAAACCTTCCTCGTCTCTCCCTGGAATTACTATCTAGGTGGCGTTGTGTGTGAAGTGCTGGGCCTGGAGTCAGAAGCTCATCAGTTCAATTCCTACCTCAGACACATATTAGCTGAGTGACTGTGGCTGAGCAAGTCAAGGCTGAGCTATGCCTCAGTTTCCTCATCTGTAAAATGGGGATAATAATAGCATCTGCCTTCCAGGGTTGCAGAGATAATGTAACTAAAGGACTTTGCAAACCTTAGAGTGCTATATAAATGCTAGGTATGGTTATTATTATTGTTATTATTAAAATATCCTTCAAATTGGACTATTTGATCTCCTTCCATGGTTCCTAATTCCTTGTCTGAACTTATTCTCTCCCTCTAGGTGAATCCTCCAGGGAAAACTCTAACCAAAGCCATCCCTGCCCCACCCACTAAAAGCCCTTTAGAGAAGGGGGCTCTTCACACTCCTGGGGGAACAGTGAGTGCACCTGCCAGTGCCAGGGTGACACCTGCAGCCAAAGGAGTGAGACCCGGGGGGTCAGAGGAGAGTGCTGAGAGTAGTGAAGAGTCTGAAAGCGAAGTGGAAACTCCTGTGTCCCAGGGACAGGTGAGGAGTCTGGAAGGGAGTTGGAGGGAGGTGAAGACGCGTAGGGCCAGAGCAGATGCCCTCCGTCTGACCTCCCTTCTAGCTCTAACTCTTGTGATCTGTCTGAACCTGCTTTCTCATCTGTTAAATGGCGATAATAGATCCTTGTGCTAGCTACCTGACAGGAACGGTTCTAACACCCCGCGTCTCTTCCTCAGGTTCACAGCCTGCAGCTGTGGTTACACAGTCTCTTGGGAGGTTGTTTAGTTATTTGTTTGTTTGGTTTTTAACCAGCCCTTACTTGAGGAGGCCTGAAGACTTTACCAATAATAATGCCTTTTTGTTATCACACCTCGAGTTCCCTCATGTGTGTGACTGGAAATCTAACTCTGGATAGTTCTTGGATTTGAGATAAAGAAGATGGCTTTGCCTCTATTAGCATTAAAAGTAGTCCAAAATGGGCCACTTGATTTTCCCATTTGACTCCTAATTTCTTCTCTGGTTCTGTTTTCTTCTCACTAGGCAATATCAGTGAAAAATCTTCAGGTCAAAACCTCGCCAGCATCTGCTACCAAGGGGCCCCTGGGGAAGGGAGTTCTTCCCGCTCCAGGGAAGTTAGTGACTGCAGCTTCCAATGCCAAGGGGACATCTCTGACCAAGGCAGTTGGGCCTGGGAAACCAGAGGAGAGTTCTGAGAGCTCTGAGGAAACAGACAGTGAGGTTGAGGTACCTCTGTCCCAAGGACAGGTGAGTCGTCGTCTGTGGCTGACTTTGCTTCAGACCTGTCCCCGTGTAGAATAGGAGCAGCTTCTGGCTAGAATACCGATCTCTAAAGTCAGCCAGTCAACTAGTATCTATTAAGCACCACCTGTGTGCTGGGCACTGTGCTAAGCCCTGCACATACAGAGAAAGATGAAAGACAGTTTCTGCTCTTGGGGAGCTCACACAATCTAATGGGAAAGATAACATGCAAACAACTATGTAAAAACAAGATATGTATGGAGGATAAATTGGGGATAGTCACTGAGGGAAGGTACTAAGAGTAAGGAAGAACGGGAAATGCTTCCTGCTGAGGCTTGAGATGAGAACAGGGCATTCCGGGTATGGGGACAGCCAGGGAAAACGCTTGAGGTCAGAAGCATCTCATATAAGGAACAGCAAGGAAGACAACATCTCTGGATCAAAGAATATGCAGGAATGCATAAGGTATAGGAAGACTGGAAAGGGGGCAGGTTATGAAAAGCTTTGTCCAGCAGGATTTTACATTTGATCCTTGAAGTGATAGGGAACCACTGCAGTGTGTTGAATGGAGGGAGTGAAGGGTAGTATGTGACATGGCCAGACCTACAGTTTAGGGAGATCAGTTTGATGGCTGAGTGGAGGCTGGATCAGACTGGGGAGAAACTAGAGGCAGGCAGAGCCCCCAGCAGGCATTGTAGTAGTTCAGGCATGAGGTAATGAGGTTCTGCACCAGGGTGGTAGCAGCATTGAGGAGGGACCCAGAAGTTGTGAAGGTATAGGGAGGGCAAGAGATCGTGACTGGGAGGATGGTGTGGCCCTCCAGGGAAATAAGGACCTTGGGAAAGGGGGAGCCTCTGTTTAGAGAGAAAAATAACAAGTTCAGTTTTGGACATGTTGAGTTTAAGATACCTACAGGATATCAGTTCAAGATATCTATTAGGCATTTAGAGAGCAGGAACTAGAGGTATTGGAGACAGAAATTAAATCTGAGCTAGTAGATCAGAGAGTCATCTGCATAAAGATAGTAATTGAAGCCAAGGGAGCGCATGAGATCATCTAGTGAAATAGTAGTGAGAGAAGAAGGACCAGGACAGAGCCTTGGGGGACCCCTACAATTAGTGGGCATGACGTGGATGTTTAGTAAAGGAGACAGAACGATTGGTCAGATGAGCAGGAAAGAGCCAGGACAGAGAAGTATCTGGAGGTTTGGAGGTGAAAGTTCTTCAAATCCAATTCATGCTTAGCTTCTTTTGTTCCAGATCTCAGTCTCAGCAAAAGTAGGGTAACTTCCAGCCTGTTTCATTGGCAATGACAGGGTTGGGGGTCACAGGTCAGCTACCCTGGGAGTGGTGAGGCAAGTGTCTACAGATCTGGATCTCTTCTGATCTGGCATTACAAGAGATCCTCAGACAAGGATCTCCTCTCTACTAGAGGAGAAACAACCTTGACAATCTTATGGTCAGTGACCACAAAATTATCTTCCAGAAGACAGACAAATGCACTCTCATGTTTACTTTTCAAAATCAAAGCTTTTTTGTTAAGTTCTTGAACTTTTAATATGGCAGGGAGGGGGAAAGTAACTGTACCGGTTTGTATCTTTTCTATCATGCCTGAGCTTCTGGAAACTGAGCCCACTTGGCCTATGCCCTGATGATTTTCAGTTCTTTGCATTTGGAGTTTCTTTTTCTTTCCCTTCCCTTTCCCTTCTGTGTACATGCCCCCCCCCGCTTTCCCCCCCATTTGTAACACATAATAAATAACCCCTTCCCTTTTCTCCTCACCTGTCCCCCCACCCCTTCACACTTTACCCCCCACCCCGACCTTCTTTTCTAACAAGATAATGCTCTATCTTTTTTCTTCCTCCCCTGGGAAAATACAGTAAAACAATAAAGACATTAGTATTGAGAAAAAAAAAAGTGAGACAGTTTCATCCCTGGCTAGGAATCCCCTAACATTTCTTCCTGTTCTACATTTTCTTTGTAACCTCAGGCAAAGCTGGCAGCGAAAGCTCCTCAAATCAACACCTCCTTACAGAAATCAGCCACTGTCATCCCCATCTCCTCTAAGGGCATTCAGGGGAGAGTGTCTGCTCCAGCTCCCTGGAAGTCAGGGCCTGCGCCCCTCCAGGCCAAAGTAGCAGGACCTGGGAAACCCAAGGCCACTTCTGAAAGCAGTGAGGAGTCAGAGAGTGAGGAGGAGAGCCCAGCATCCCGGGGACAGGTGAGGCCTGGAGAGGATCACTGGGTCATGTTTAGAGCTGGAAGGGAGTTGATCCAGTGCAGCTCCTTCATTTTACAAATGAGGAAACAGAGGTTAGTTTTCTCTGTCCAGGTACCTTCTGGCTTGGAAAGGGACATTTCCTCATGGGAAAGATAATGAGTTCAGTTATAGAGCTGTTGAGTTTGAAATGTCTATGGGATATGCAGTTGGAAATTTCCAATAGGCAGTTGGTGATGCGCACTACCCAGGCTAGAGTGGAGCTCAGGAGAGAAATTCTGGACTGAATATTTAGCTGGGACAGTCTGCACTGAGATTCCAATTAAAGCCAAAGTTGCAGGTGAGGCCCCCATGAGAGAGAACATAAAGGGAGAAGAGAAGAGGACCAAGGACAGTTTGGGGGTACAGCCATCATTAGGGGTGCTGCATGAAGGAGAATCTAGTAAAGGAGATGATGAGGGAGTCATCTGACACAGTTGGTTGGTGGAGAACCAGGGGAGAACAAGATCCCCAGGACAGCAAAAGGAGAGAGTGTTAGATGCTATCAAGAATGATGAAGATTAAGGTACAGCCATCCAGTTTGACAATGAAGAGATCGAGTAACTGGTTTCATTGAATGATGAGGTTGGAAAACCAGACTGGGTAGGTTTGAGGAGTGAGTGAGAGGGGAGAGGTGCTGGGCTGCTGCTTCCTTCCCCTTTGGCTCAGCATCTGCTGTTCTTGATATGTTCTCATCAATTTGCTTTCCAAATACATGGGCAGCTTGATTCCTAGATCAGAGTCCTACATTCCCAGTCTTCATTTATGTTATTTTCTTTGTGTAATCTTAGGCAAAGCCCACAGTGAAAGCTCCCCAAGTTGATGCCCCTCCAGGAAAAGGGGCCCCTGTCACTCCTGTCTCTGCTAAGGGCACTCGGGGGAAAGTGTCTGCTCCAGCTCCCTGGAAGTCAGGGCCTGCGCCCCTCCAGGCCAAAGCAGCAGGACCTGGGAGACCCAAGGCCACTTCTGAAAGCAGTGAGGAGTCAGAGAGTGAGGAGGAGAGCCCAGCATCCCGGGGACAGGTGAGGCCTGGAGAGGATCATTGGGTCATATTTAGAGCTGGAAGGGAGTTAGTTGATCCAGTGCAGCTCCTTCATTTTACAGATAAGGAAACAGATTAGTTTATCCTCCAAGCCTGTGTTTGTCCAGGTACTTTCTGGCCTGCACTGAATGTTTTCTGGCTTGGAAGGGGACCTCTGAAGCCAGAGGTACAGTGGAACCAGAAAACAGACCAGGAGCCCAGCTTTCTTCCTGCAGAGATGGGATAATCCCTCTCTCCCTAAGCATTAAGTGTCTACTGTGTGCCAAGCAAGACAAAAAAAAATGATATAATCCCTGATCTCGAGGAACTTATACTCTATCCATGGGTATAGACATACAAAGTAAATAAAAGGTTACTTTGAGGTGAAGGCACTCATAGCCGGGGCAGGGATTAGAAAAGGCTTCTTGGGGCAGCTAGGTGGTGCAGTGGATAAAGCTTCAGCCTTGGAGTCAGGAGGACCTGAGTTCAAATCTGGCCTCAGACACATGACACTTACTAGCTTACTAGACCCTGAGCAAGTCACTTAACCTGGATTGCCTCACCAAAAAAAAAAAATCAAATTAAGAAAAGGCTTCTTGTAGAAGATGATGCTTAGAGGAATCAAGGGATTAAAAAATAACAGGGAAGTTTGGAAGAGAGGTGGGTTTGGGGGAAAAGATAATGAGTTCAGATATAGACCTGTTGAGTTTGAAATGCCTATGGGACATGCAGTTGGAAATTTCCAATAGGCAGTTGGTGATGCACTACCCAGGCTAGAGTGGAGCTCAGGAGAGAAATTCTGGACTGAATATTTAGCCGGGACAGTCTGCACTGAGATTCCAATTAAAGCCAAAGTTGCAGGTGAGGCCCCCATGAGAGAGAACATAAAGGGAGAAGAGAAGAGGACCAAGGACAGTTTGGGGGTACAGCCATCATTAGGGGTGCTGCATGAAGGAGAAATCCAGTAAAGGAGATGATGAGGGAGTCATCTGACACTGTTGGTTGGTGAAGAACCAAGAGAGAACAAGATCCCCAGGACAGCAAAAGGAGAGAGTGTCAGATGCCACCAAGAGATCAAGAATGATGAAGATTGAGATGTGCAACGGCTTAGGCAGTGGAAGCACCTGCCAGGTCGGACAGAGTGCCTGAGCTACACTGCTGCCCCCTCCCTCCAGGACCCATTGCAGCTGCCAGTGCCCCTGACCCACGGTAACCATGTGTGACCACAAGGCCATCGTCAGAAACGCAGACATGTTAGAGGAGATGCAGCAGGAGTCCATGGAGTGTGCCACCCAGGCCCTGGAAAAGCACAGCGTCGAGAAGAACGTAGCAGCCCACGTCAAGAAGGAGTTAGAGAAGTACAGCCGCACCTGGCACTGCATCATGCGGAAGAACTTTGGCAGCTGCATGATGCACAAGGCAAAGTGCTTCATCTACTTCTACCTGGGCCAAGCCGCCATCCTCCTCTTCAAGTCTGCTTAGAGCATGGCCTGTGCCTCCTGCCCCGAGAGCCATCCAGATCACAAGGACTGCAGCCTAAATTCCAAATACTAGAGACTGCGCTATCTTCAGCGTTGCCATGGGAACACCTCCAGTTCTAAGCCTTTATTGTGGTGGTGGTGTTGTACGGGGCATCCTATGTACTAGTTTGTTGTGGCTATAAAACAATTAGCAAAAATAAAATGATGAAGATTAAGGTACAGCCATCCAGTTTGACAATGAAGAGATCACGAGTAACTGGTTTCATTGAATGATGAGGTTGGAAAACCAGACTGGGTAGGTTTGAGGAGTGAGTGAGAGGGGAGAGGTGCTGGGCTGCTGCTTCCTTTCCCCTTTGGCTCAGCATCTGCTGTTCTTGATAAGTTCTCATCAATTTGCTTTCCAAATACATGGGCAGCTTGATTCCTAGATCAGAGTCCTACATTCCCAGTCTTCATTTATGTTATTTTCTTTGTGTAATCTTAGGCAAAGCCCACAGTGAAAGCTCCCCAAGTTGATGCCCCTCCAGGAAAAGGGGCCCCTGTCACTCCTGTCTCTGCTAAGGGCACTCGGGGGAAAGTGTCTGCTCCAGCTCCCTGGAAGTCAGGGCCTGCGCCCCTCCAGGCCAAAGCAGCAGGACCTGGGAGACCCAAGGCCACTTCTGAAAGCAGTGAGGAGTCAGAGAGTGAGGAGGAGAGCCCAGCATCCCGGGGACAGGTGAGGCCTGGAGAGGATCATTGGGTCATGGTTAGATCAGGAAGGGATTGTAGAGGTGATCCAGTGAAACTCTTTCATTTTGCAGATGAGGGAAGAAGACTTGGTCAAATTTTAAAGCCATGTCCAGATAGATTCTGGGCCTCTGAAATCTGAGGCATAAAGAGGAATGAGATAATGGTCTTCAGAGCAGAGGCTCTCTGACTTCAGGGGTGGCTCTTGTCATGCTTTCCTATGCCTTTGGTCCACCTTCTGTCGGTCCTGGTAGCTTCTCATCAGTTTGATTTTTGATCGGTGTGGGTCTGTGGTAAGCCCTGACTCTTCGATCTCAGTCCTTGATTCCTTTCTTAGGCAAAGCCAGTAGTGAAACCTGGCCAGGCTGACACCCCATCAGGGAAAGGGACCTCCATCTCCCCAGTGTCCCTCAAGGGCTCCCAGGGGAAAGCGCCTACTCCATCCCCCTTAAAATCAGGAAATGCACCTCTCCAGACCAAAGAAGAGGTCCAAGTCAAGGCAGCATGTCTTGGGAAAGCAGAAGAGACTTCAGAAGAGGATTCAGAGTGGGAAGACAGCATCTCGGTATCTCAGGGCCAGGTGTGTCCCTTATGTGTACTTGTCCTCATCCAGTCTCTTTAATCTAGAGGGGACCATTACTTCTTCTCTTCCCCCTCTTACAGTGCTACCTCTTGGTTCTAGGTAAAACCCGCAATCGCAGTTTCTCCAGGTTTGGAAGGAGGGAAGGGGACCACCATATCATCTCCTAAGAAGTCAGCAGTTGCCTCCCTTCAGGCCATCAAGGTGGATTCCAGCAGCTCAGATGACAGCTCTAGCAGCAGCGATGACACGTTGATCCCTGCATCCCAAAGACAGGTGAGCTCAGAGGGAGGGGAGGCAGCAGTCATGCTACAGCTTATTCCTGGCTACTGAGGCCATGTCAGATTGGCCTCTTCCCCTACTTCAGTCTCCAGGCAGAGCATCCAGATGGCAATGAGTGTGATGCTGACTCTCCATTCTCATCTTCCTTCCTTTGTCACAACACGGTTCCTTTTTCCATATGGCTCAGCTCTTAAATCTCAGTATAGATCACTTGGTGCACTGGAAAGATCACTGGTTTGGGGGGCAGTGAACCTAGATTCAAATCTCAGCTCTACCACCTGTGTGACATTGGGCAAGTCACTTAACCAAGAGAGGGCCTCAGTCTCCTCATTTGTAAAATGAGATTGTACCTTCGTGCCTTTAAGGTCTCTTCCACTCTAGGTGTGTGGATCTTGTAACACTGTATAATTCCCTATATCCTTTTGTCACGTTTCTCTTGCCAAAGGAGGCAAGACAAGTTTCTGGAAGGTCTTTTCAAATCCTCCAGTCTGCCTACACCTTCATGGTTACCACCTTCAGACAACTTGGGGTCTGTGACATTCACAGATTTCGTCAGCTTCCTGTCTCTGCTTGTTGAATTGCATTGACGATGCTTATATCTCAGCCATTTGTAAAGACATTGATCAGAACTGGGTTAAGAACATGTCCCCATGCGCACTCCAGAACCCCGTTTTCCTGGTTGGGTTTGAGCCCTTAATTACCGCTTTGGACGTTTGGTTCTGCAGCAAGTGAGGTAGTTAATAATGATGATTGTGATGATGATATTAAATTCTAGAGTTCTCCAAGTATTACGAAACAGCATCCTCAGCACAGACTTAGGAGGTGAGAGGCTTAGATCTTATTATTCTCTTTTTACAAATGAGGAAATGGTCTTAAAGAGGTGATTAACTTGTTCAGGAGCAAAAGGTTAACCTAATAATTGAGAGAATTAATTAAAGATTAACCTATCAAGGAGCAAAAAGTAAAAGTGCTTGTAGGTGTATAAAAAGTAAAGGTGCTCATGCCCGTATGTGTGTCTATCTGTATCACAGATTGGAGATAAAAATAGTCTTGTTTCTTTCCATGTCCCCTCCTAAATGTTTTTGACTGCATCTGTCAGGGCTTTGTTGTTGTTACTATGTAATGGTAGTCAGTGTATGTGTTCTTATGGTTCTTTTCTTCATTCTGTATAACTTGAAGTAAGTCTTCCTGTATCTCTCTGCTTTGTATATTACTATACTCCAAGTTGTCAATCTATTTCCCAATCTTTGGACACACCGATTTTTTTTGTGTGTGTTAAGAAGAGTACTGAAATATTTTTGTATAGATAGGTCTTCCTAGCAGTAGAATCTTTGGGTCAAAGGGTATGAACAGTTTTGTGGTTTTTAAAGTATAATTCCACATTACTTTCTTTTTTAAAAAATGTATTTATTTTTAGTTTTCAACATTCACTTCCATAAGATTTAGAGTTCCAAATTTTCTCCCCATCTGTCCCCTCCCTGCACCCCAAGACGGCATGCAATTTGACATAGGCTTTACATATACATTTATATTGAACCTATTTTCACATTACTCATGTTGTAAAGAGGAATTAGAACCAATGGGAGAAACCACAAGAAAGGGAAAAAAAGAGGGAGAGAGCAAATAGTTTGCTTCAATCTGCATTCAGACTCTATGGTCCTTTTTTTGGATGTGGACAGCATTTTCCATGAGTCTTAGGAGATGTCTTGGATCCTTCCATTGCTAAGAGATATGTCTGTCAGAGTTAGTCATCGCATATTCCATGTTACTTTCCAAAAAGGTTTTGCCAGTTCAGAATTTCCTTGCCTACCCTCATTGAACCACCTCTTGTGGCAAAGAAAAACAGATCCAGTAGAGTGACCACATCTAATGATGTCTACTGCCGTATCACTGTTACTCTCCAGCCCCTCTGCCCCAAGCAGGGCAGTGTGTTTCCTTATGTATTCTCTCAGACCTTCATTTAAGGTTTTAGTTACTTAGAGTTCATCTTTTTAGTGATCTTCCTGTTTTCATTGTTGTAATCGTTATGTACATTCGTAATCGTTATGTACATTCTTTTGTTTCTGTTTAGGTCACTGTATCAATTCATACACATTTTCTCTATGTTTCTAGGAATTCCTCATTCATTATTTCTTTCTTCTCAGTAATAATTGACTTCATTCACATATCATAGTGGTTTTTTAGCCATTCCCCAGTCAATGGGAATCTGCTCTGTTTTTAGCTCTTTGCCACCACAGAAAATGCTACCATGAATATTTTGGCATCTATGGGGCCTTTGTTTCTATTATTGACATCCTTAAGGTGTATGCCTAATCATAAAATTTCTATTTCAAAGGAATTGGCCCTTTTTCTCCTTTTTTTTGCTTAATTCCAAACTGATAGGGGCAGCTAGGTGGTACAGTGGATAGAGCACCAGCCCTGGAGTCAGGAGGACCTGAGTTCAAATCTGGCCTCAGACACATAACAGTAGCTGTGTGACTCTGGGCAAGTCACTTAATTGCCCCACACACACACACACACACACTCCAAACTGATAGAAAACTCTAAGCCTCAGTTTCCTCATCTGTAAAATGAGGGCACTAGACTTCATGGCCTATTTTTGATGGAATATCCATTCTAGGTCTGAATCTATGATCCTTTGTTAGCATTCTGACCAACGGACAGGTCTCTAAGCATTGTATTAGGGTGCTTTTCTTCCCATGCCTTATCCAGTGTTTACCAGTCTCATTGTTGTCATCTCTTCCAATTTGCACCCGCTTACTTAAAAAAAAATACTTAATTTTTTCCCCAATTGCAGGGGGAAAAAGTTTTTAAAGTTTATTTTTAAGCTTTGCCTTTCAAATTCCTCACCTACTTTTTATATGTAAAAATATCTGTAACTATTGAGGCAAAATCATGTAACTTCCTCTCTATAAATTGCAATATACTCCATTCAGACCAGAGTTTACTTCAGTGCTTTAAAAGAATTATTATTTCTTTGATGTGGGTACTCCCTGTAAAGCTGAGTCAACAGTTTTCAGGGCCAATTTTAGAAGAAATAGCTCACAGATGCCATTTAAGTATCTAGTCCACTTACTTAATTGCACCAAGTTCTTATTCACTAAATATTGTCAAGCTCATTGTCCTCATCTTTGACTGCTCAGGCCCTTCGCAATGCCTCTGACTTCTTGGTTCTGATAGGACCTTGTTTGTCTTTAACTATTCCTTAGAATTTAAGTGTATTGGTTACTTCCTTAACATCCCTCTGCTGTTCACACACTTTGAGTTTTAATTTTTTCCAGAACTCCAAAACACAGTCTCTTCTCATTAATAGCTCCTCTTGTTGTGAGGGTGAGGTACTTCATGAAATAAATAAAGATGATTGATGAGGTGACACATGTAAAGTGCTTTGCAAGCCTTGGAGCACTGTGTAAATGCTGGCTGTTATTATTGGGGCACCTGGGTGGCGCAGTGAATAAAGTACTGGCTCTGGAGTCAGGAGGACCTGAATTCAAATCCAGCCTCAGACACTTACTTGCTGTATGACTTTTGGCAGGTCACCTTGTTTGCCTCAGTTTCCTCATCTGTAAAATGAGCTGGAGAAGGAAATGGCAAACCACTCCATTGTTTTTGCCTGGAAAACTCTCAAATGGGGTCACAAAGAATCAGACATGAGTGAAATAGCTGAAATACGACTATAAGTTATTGTTGTTGTTATGATGATGATTCCTGCATATCTGGAAGAGACCTTAGTGCTTCTAAATCAGAAGGTTCTGATAGATGATAACTGCTTGGTCCTGTGTATCCTGACTAATGGAAGGATCCTTTTATTCTTGAAAGGACTAGACTCCTGAGTTTTCTAAACATTTCAGGCCATCAAGAAAAGCAAGATATACCCAGACAAAGTCATATAGATTTCTTCACAACTGCCTTAGTCCTTTCTTTTTTTCCTTTTAACTCCAGGTGAAACCATCTGTCCCAGCCCCCCAGGGCAAAGCTGCTGAGAAGCCAGCAGTCCCCCTCACCACAGTGGAGGAGACGTCATCATCGGAGAGCATGGAGGACACAGAGAGTGAAGAAGAGGAAGTCCCAACTCCTCAGGGGCAGGTGTGTGTGTGTGTGTATCTGTGTGTCTGTGGGGGTAGGTGGGGGTGTTACCTATACTCAGTCCTCCTGGTCAGAGGGATCAGATTACAAAATACTTATTAAGTATGTCTACTGTGGGCCAGGCCATCAATACCAAACCAAAAACGAAACCTTTCCTGCCCTTGAGGAATTCACATTCTAGAGAGGGGGAAATGTGTGCATCCAGTCAGTATATTCAGAATAAGGATGAGGTAATATAAAAGCACCAACAGGACTATAAAATGTGTCACGTGGAAAGTAAGGCTTGATCATTTTTCCACTTTTTTTTTGCATGATTTCACATATGTAATTGATATCACATTGCTTGCCTTCTCAATGGGTGGGAGAGGGGCAAAGAAAGAATTTGGTGCTCAAAATTTTTTTTAAATGTGAGAGATAAAGATTAAATTCATTTTTGAAAAATAAGTGAAGCTTGAGCAAAGCTTTGGAGGAGACTAGGGCTGCTGAGGGGTGGAAGCAAGAAGGAAGTACATTCCAGGCATGGACACAGAGCCCTGGGCACAGGAAGCCGTGAGAGGCCATTCTGGCTGGGCCGTAGAGTGCGAACGAGGACCTGTGTGATGAAGTAGGTTGGAGCCGGTTTGCAAAGGGCTCTGAATGCCACACTTCTGCCGGGCATTTGGCTCTAGAAGGAATAGGGAGCCATGGTGGTTTGTTGACTTCCAGAGGATCCCCTACTCCAAAGGAGCCTTTTCTCTCTCTCTCTCTTTTAAAACTATAATATTTCTTTGTGGCTTAAGGTAAAAACTGCAGTGAAAAATACTCATGTCAATCCAGCCTCAGGAAGAGAGAGCAAGGACACACCAGCCTCAGGAAAGTCCGTGTCTTCATCAAAGACCACAATAACAGGGCCTATAAAGCCAGAAGAACATTCTGAAAGCAGCGAGGAATCCGAAAGTGAAGATGAGGTGGTCTTGGTGTCTGTGGGGCGGGTGCGGCATCTGTTTTTGTCCTCTTCAAGTCATTTTCCCAGGAAATAGCCCAGTTTGCAGGAGGCTCCTCACACTATATGCCTTTCCCTTAAAAATATTTCCTTGTGGTTTCAGGTAAAACCTTCAGTGAAAACTCCTCAGGTCACTGCAGCCTCAATAAGAAAGAAAGAGCCCACACCAGCCCTTGGGAAGTCTGTGGCTCCATCCCCCCAAACTCAGGTGGGGCCTCAGGCCAAGGTCATTGGAACTGCAGTATCAGAGGAGAGTTCCGACACCAGTGATGAGTCTGAGAGTGAAGGGGTGATCCCTGTGTCCCAGGAGCAGGTGAGGCTTAAGTAGGGGCTGGCCATAGCCCACACCTATCTCCAGATGCAAGTTCTTTTTTTTTTTGGCTAGGCAGTGGGGTTAAGTGATTTGCCCAGGGTCACACAGCTAGTAAGTGTTATATGTCTGAGGCCACATTTGAACTCAGGTCCTCCTGACTTCAGGGTCGGTGCTCTATCCACTGTGCCATCTAGCTGCCCCCTCCAGATGCAAGTTCTAAAGCCATAGCACTCTAGCCTTTTACATTATCCTAGACTTTTAGAGCTAGCAAGGACCTGAGAGCCACGCTAGAATAAACCCCTCTTTTTACAGATAACAACCATAACAGGAACTGATGTTATACCACACTAAAATTTGCAGGATGGTTTAGACACATCTCATTTGAGCCCCAGAGCTTAAATAATGTTCCCATGGTCACACCGTTGGTTAATATCAGGCTAGATTTCAACCTGAGTCCTCTGACCTTAGAGCATGTGTTCTTTCTACTTTGCCTCCTCTGAAGAAGCTTAAGCCTGGAAAGGAGGAAGGGGCTTGTCCACGATTTCAGAGCTGGTCAGTGGCATTGTTACTATCAGGACTGAGACTTTGAGCCCACTTCTCCTAATCCTCAGGCTGCTGTTCCCTCCACCGCCCACTAGGACTGCCTCCCTCTACATACCCCTAAAATGAGCTGTCCCTTCACCCTAGAGCTGGTTGTGTGAATCCTGAGGTTTGAGTCAGGTGAGGGAGGAAAGGAAATAGGAGTTGTTTTTACTTTTTAAAAAACAGGGTAAAAGTAGTTTACATACGCGTACAGTTTAAGTTTCTAGATGTGTTTTTGGATTTCCATTCATAGTAGAAACCACTTGTTTGGGGTCGCACACAGGGCTGCAGCTTATTTATTCACCATTAACCCCACACACTCTCTGAAAGAGAGATTTCAGTGTCCTCTTTTTTGTCTTCTTATCTATTCTGACCTTTACTGTATAAATCACACGCATTTCTTATCAGTCTGATCTGTAACTGTATGGTTTTAGTTAACCTCTGTCTCCACTTGGTTCTACTTGCTTAACGCCAAAGACTCTTCCAAACGGTGCATTTGCCTGTCAGACAAAGGCAGGACCGAACACGCTGGCTGTGCTTCCTTCTGGGCTGGGCATGATGAGCCTGGCGTCAGCTCTACAGCTTTTACCCAAGCACACCCTGGCTCATGGTTCTCCCCGACCCTGTCATCTTTTCTGCATCCCACCTCTTCCCCTGTAATCAAGCAGCTTTTGAGCCATACCTGAGCCATCTGTCTTTTTGTGGCTTTAAGTCACATCTCCGGGAAGTTTGTGTATCTACTTAATCCCCAGGTGGGAAATAGCCTCTGCTAATGTCCTCCTCTGATGTCTCGTTGTGAAGGTAACTCTCTGTCATTGAAATCTGTGCCCGGAGGCTGGCTCTGACTGTGGCAGGGCTTACCAGCCTGCAAAGTCTTTGCATATAGGCAATCTTTTTTTCCCCCAAATTTAAAAGCACTAGATTTGGAATTGGAGGATTTGGGGTCTTGTCTCAGCTCTGTCCTCTACTTCTGGTGTGACCTTGGGCAACACTTAATCTCCCTGGGCCTCAGTTTCCTCACCTGTAAAACGAGAGAGTTGGACTCATTGGGCTGGGCAGTCCCTTGCAGCCCTGAATCTGTGAGCTGTGTTACCTGGCTGCTGCAGAAATCCATCTCACTAACACTTAGGTTTTCCTGATGCCATGTGATTGGGATGCTCTAATCCCAGAATAATCAGAATCTAAAATTACCTAGCAGACTAGTACCCATTTCCAAGGATAACTGACATCTATTAAGTGGCATCAGAGCCACCACCCAGGAAGTAGATAACCACAAAAGGACTTGAGTCCACCAAGTTTTAAGAATGATCCTCAGGGGGAAGGGAACAAGTGTTTATTAAGCACCTGCTGTATTCGGGGCGCTGTGCTAAGCCCTTCACAAATGCTATTGCATTTGGCCGTCCCAGCAACCCTGGGAGGTGGGTGCTATTATTACCTCCATTTTACAATGGAGGAAACTGAGCTGAACAGTAGCCCAGTCACATAGCTAGGAAGTGTAGCCAGATGTGAACTCGGGTCTTCCCAACTCTCGATCTAAAGCTTTGTCCACTGCACTACTGAACTGGGCAGTATGGGGTGGTACGTTGGTGCTCGCAAGATACCGAGCAAAGCAGAGGAAAGGCCTCTAGCATGTTGTGTGGGTGAGAGATTTGTGGAAGCACGTGTACACAAATAACCCTATGTATGGCCTGGACGTGCTGTGATCAGTTCTGCCAGCCCCCGTGATGTCATCAAGCTGCAAAACACTCAGTACAGCAGGCGGGGAGAGTTGGCCGCTTCCATCTCCCAAGATTGGGGTTGCCCTGGAATGACTCTGGATTCTTGGAAGAGCTAGCATGTGATTTCTCTCTAGTGGGAGACTTGAGCCTCCTTCCTTCTGTGCTTTCATGAATGTCAGCGTGGAAACAGGGAAAGAGCACCTCCCTGGAAGTCAGAAAAAGGGTTGGAATTCTAGTTCAGGCCCTGCCACTAATTCCTGGGGATGAAATCTTGGCCAGGTCCCTTCATTTTCCTGGGATAGAGACTGGGCCTATAATTTCATTCTTATACCTTGGGACACTCCTCTACCAGTACAGATTGTTGCCTTCTCAGCATCTTGCCTGGTGTAAGTATGATTGTGTTGAGAATCATAGGCTCATAATTTTCCATCTTTGAAGGATGAAACTAGTCCAGTCGGTTGAGAATATATGTGTAAAAGTATTTTGAAAAAGCACTCGTATTAAATCACTATCATTAATGTATATTGAGATCTCTGGGCAGATGCATCATTTTACCTGCGGGTAGCTTTTTCTCTCTCCTTGCCTCATCCTCATTATCCCAGGTTTCATCAGGGAAGACAGATGAGAAGGCTGCAGCTGCTAAGAACAGTGTGGGGAAAGTGTCTGCCGCATCTTCAGACAAGCAGTTGGCTTCACCTGGTGCTACCAGGAGCCAGAAATCCAAAAGTAGCAATGGAGAGCCGCCAGCTGCCCAGGTAGGGCCCTTATACTCTAGCGTCTCTCTCTTTCCCTCCATCCAAAGTTGCATTATGGTGCTTGTGGCTGGGCTACAAGGGGACACTCAACAAACATTGATTAAGTACCTACTGTGTGCAGAGCATTCTGCTAAGTGTTTAGGGAGAGAAAAAGTTTGAAATAAGACAGGATCTTTGTTCTCGTGGATCTTATAGCAGCATTGCAATAAAAAACAAATAAGCAACTAGGTGGCACAGTGGATAGAGCACTGGCTCTGGAGTCAGGAGGACCTGAGTTCAAGTCCAGCCTCAGACACATAACACACTAGCTGGTGACTCTGGCCAAGTCACTTAACCCCAATTGCCTTACCAAAAAAAAAAAGACACAACACAAATAGATAATTGTGATTATCAGCCTCGTTTTTCCTTGCATCAGAAATACCCCTTTGGGGTGAGAGAGGATTACACCTGGAGAAGGAGAAAGGGAGAGGTAGAATGGGGTGAATTATCTCACATAAAGCAGACAAGAAAAGGCTCTTACAGTGGAGGGGAAACAGGAGAAGGTGAGAGGGAGGGAGTGATTCTTATTCTCATAGGATTTGGCTTAAGGAGGGAATAACATACACATTCAATTGGGTATGGAAATCTGTCTACAGGAAAATAGGGGGGAGAGGGGACAAGAGAGCAGGGGGATGATAGAGAGGAGGGCAGATTGGGAAAGAGGTTAATCACAAGTAAATACTTCTGAGGAGAGACAAGGTCAAAAGAAAGAATAGAATAAATGGGAGGGCAGGATAGGATTAAGGGAAATAGAGTTAGTTTTTCACAACATGTCTACTGTGGACGTATTTTGCATAACTGCACACGTACAACCTGTATTGAGTTGCTTGCCTTTTCAATGAGGGTGGGTGGGGAAGGAGGAAGAGAGAAAATTTGAAACCTAAAGTTTTAAAAACATATGTTTTAAAAAATGTTTTCACATGCTACTGGGAAATAAGAAATACAGGAAATGGGGTACAGAAGAGGATAAGAGAAGGGGGGGAGAGACAAAAGGGAGGGCAGACTAGGGGAAGGGGTTTTCAGAATGCATGCCATCTTGGAGTGGGGGAGGGGCGAGATGGAATGAAAATTTGGAACTCAAAATCTTGTGGAAGTAAATGTTGAAAACTAAAAATAAATAAATTTAAAAAGAAAAAAATAAAATAACTCTTAAAAAAAAGGGCAGCTAGGTGGCGCAGTGGATAGAGCACTGGCCCTGGATTCAGGAAGGACCTGAGTTCAACTGCGGCCTCAGACACATAACACTTATTAGCTGTGTGACCCTGGGCAAGTCACTTAACCCCGTTGCCTAACCAAATGTAAAAAAAAAGAAAAATACCCCTTCGGCATTAGGAGGTATAAGCCCCCACACTAGGGGGGTAGACTTTTTTGCCTCATTAATCTTACCATCCTCTCTCCTCCTCCACCCCCAGTATTCATCCTTTCATGTCATCTAAATCCTCTCTTCCTAGAGAGCCCCTCTTTGTATTTTGAAACCTTGCAAGAGTATTTAGGGGAGAGTGTTGGACAGGTTGGAGGGGAGGGTTCAAAGGGAAAGACCCTCTTAAGGCAAGGGTTCTTAACCTTTTGTATGTCATAGACCCCTTCTCAGAATAATATTTTTAAATAATTGAAGGAAATGCTGAATTTCAACTAGAGGTTAATGAAAATAAAGAAGTAATTTTTTACCTGTCCAGGTTCACAGGTTCTCTCAAATCTGTCTATAGACCTCTTGGGGTCCCTAGCCCAAGACCCCCTGTTCTAAGGAAAATCAAGTGTGTTTTCCAGACTTTTCTATCCCATCCCACTTCTATGGATAACATGGAATTCACTTCTCTGTCTGCTACTTGCTCTTCAACGTTTTTGTTCCCTAAGCATGAGGGAAGTCCCTCAGTCGATACCAGGGAGGCATACGTTGTTCCTTAGCCCAGTCTGGCATTATTCTGTCATCCAGCAGTTTTCTCAGCACTGGCACACTGGGGAGGCTCGTCACTCAATCCCTTCCCTCTGTCTGTAAGATAAGGCTGGTGGGGACTCCCCAGACACACAGCCCTTCCTCCCTTCCCTTTATCAAGAAAAACAAACAGGACTTCACCCCCTTTGACTGTGGTCCAAGCTCACCCAAAGGCTTCATCATTCATCAGGGAATAGAACCTGATAGATAGGTCATAGTCACAAAGCTGAGCCCCAAACTGAATCCTAAGTTGCCATATCTGTATGTCATTGAATTAATGCTTCTGTGATACATCAGAATTATAGGGGTCAGTGTCACAGTCATTATACTGGCGGACTCTCAACACTGCCTTACATATAATATCTATATTTGCTTCCTGGAGGGTTCTAGTAGCTAGGCTGTTAGTGTATATGGTTTTACTGAGCTTTTGTTTTTTTTATACCTATGCTAATTCAAGCCATTCAGTCAAGCAAAAGTATTTATTATGCACCTACTATATGCCAGGCACTCTTCTAGGCATTAAGGATAGAAATACAATGAAAGAAACAATTCCTACTTGTAAAGAGCTTGCAGTGTAAGAAAAGAGAAAACAAGGGTGTGTGAGTGTGTGTGTGTGTGTGTGTGTGTATAAGAAGATATTTAGACATGGTAGTTTGAGCACTTAAGGAAATCAGCAAAGGCTTCATGTAGAAGGAATGAAATGTTTTTATACTCGTGGTTATGTTGGTTATCTATAAAATGTCTGTTTCTATACTCTTTTTTTAATCTTCAGTAAAATGGAACTTTGACCGCACTAATTTAATTTAGCAGATAATGCAGCCATTTGGCTTGAAGCAACAATTGTACATTCTGAGGCCAACTGAGATATGGGCCTCAGACATTTATTGGCTGTGTATGATCCTGGGCAAGTCACTAAACCCCTCTGTGCCTCAGTTTCCTCATCCATAAAATGGGAATAACAATAGCACTTACCTCCCAGGGTTGTTGTAAGGATCAAGTGAGACAATATTTGTAAGGCATTTTGCCGATTTTAAAGTACTATCTAAATAGTGGCTCTTTTTATTGTTTGAAGATTCTAGAATCTGTTAAAACTTTTAAAAAATCTTTACAAGACATCTAAACATTCCCTCTGAGGTATTGAACTAGAGTTAGAGAGTGGCCTCAGGAAAACTGCAGAGTTTTTGTTAGAGTTTTTATTTTTATTATTGTCATCACATTTATATGGTTTTATGGTAGCATGATTCTTTGCAATTTTTATAATTACTTCAGCAGTCCTCAGGAAGCTAATCCACCATGGCTATGTACAATGCTAATGTGAGCTCCTCGAGAGCTGCTTTTCTTTCTCAGCTCCCTCGCTAGCTTGCCCAGTTGCGTGGCACAATGGAAAGATTGATGGAGGCAGGAGACTTGGTCTTGATCCTGGGCCCGTGATAATTAGTTGCATGACCCTAAACCAGGCTTTTTCAGCTTTGTGCCTTTTTTCTTCATCTGTAAATGATCAAATGATAGTATTTGTAACGTGTTTAAAAATCTTAAATGCACTATGTAAATATTAGCTTTTATTATTATCTGCAAATAATGGGCTGGAACTTGATGGTATCCCATGAAGTAGTAATGTGTTGTGATTTTGTGATTTGCTCTCACCTAACCTCAAACTTCCCTCTTTGTGTTAAGTTAATAATTATACTTACCCAGCTCTTGCATTCCATAATTCCCCTTCCCAGAGTTGCTAGGAGGCTTTGTTAATTGTTTGCCTGCTCAGGGGACAGCGCCATGGCCCTTGGGGCCTTAGAGAACAGCAGCACAGGGTCATTAAAGCCAGATGGCAAAGGAACCAACCCCTTTCCACGAACAAGACTGAGGTGAAACAAAGCAGTAACCACGGCTCAGAGCGACACGTTTCCAGCTTCTGAGTGAACCCACTTGACGTTCTGCTTTGGGGTACTGAAGACATTGCACTTTACAAGCCATCCTCTTCATGGCTGTGCTTGGGCTTTCCCTCTGCCTCCCTGCCTTACAGGCCTGAGGGGGTTTGGACGCCAAGAAGAGCGACCTCTCCTTCCTCTCTTCAGGTCCCTTAGTCCACATGCAAGAAAGATGCTCTCTGACTGGGGAGCTCAGTATCTCATCCCTTTTTTGTCTGTGTGTCAGCCTTCCCCATGGCCCAGATCCCCTCTCCTCTCCCCTCCAGCTCTCCATTTGCCTAAACCCCTTTTCTTCTGTGGCACTGAAGGCCTAAAAGAATCCAGATTCATGGGTCTGGACATCCCTGCACTGCCCCCTGAACCTCTTCAAGCTTGATTGCATAAACATGTTCCAGGAGGGTGGGGCTCGCTGCTGCTAGATGCTTGCTGTCTTTAGAACCTGTGGCCACAAGGGGGTGCCAGAGAGTCACAAGTAAAGTGTTTTCCCCACCCCCAGCCTAAGCTCAGATTTCTCTCTCCACTTATCTCTGGCTCAAACTTTGTGGCTTGGTTTGTAAGTAGACGCTCAGATCAGCGGGGTGGGGGGAGGCTGGAATTTCCTGTGGCGGGCTCTAGAACCGTCCTTGCCTAAAACTCCTCTGGCTTTTGGCTGGGCTAGGAGTTTAGAGTGGGTGGAAATGGAAAGCTCGTTTGGGGGAATACCAGGCTTTGGACTGAACTGGATTACGGCCAGCAAGCCTCAGGAGGACAGGACGCTTAGCTTCCCTGAACATTCCAAGATCCTGTTATCCTTAAACAGGGTCGGGTTGTGAACAAAATGCTTTGTTACCTTAACAAGGCCCTTAAGATAGATCACCTGCTTTGATTCTCACAGCAGTTCTGCTGGGGTATCCCCATTTTACAGAAGAGGAGACAGGCTCAGGAAGGGTGAGCTACATGGTCACCAGCTAGTAACTGGAGGAATGAACCTAGGTTCTCCTTGACTACAAGTACAGGGGCATTTCTATAAAATGCTGCTGTGTTTGGAAATGTGAGCTATTGTCAATCTCAGGCCTTGCCACCTCTCTATATTCCCAACAAACCACTTCTCTCTCTTTTCGTAT